GTCAAGATATCAATCTAATGTTTTGGGAGGCGCCGGCGTTTTGAGCGTTTCCTCCAAATTGCTATATCGATACCTACGTTTCCTTTTTTTTCCAAAGTGCTTGGAGCGCTCCAACGTCGACGAAAAGTATGAACGCAACCATTTATAACGCCTAACATGGACGTTTGGGACATCGATCCGTTCTTGTAACAGTGTTTTTTTTCAGGTACATCTCATGCAGAAATGGCATCAATTCGTGAAACTCAATCCGAACTGCAAGCTGGGCAACGAACCCTTCGGAATATGATAGAAGAACTGGAAAAACAACAGAAACTTTTAGAAGCGTTTATTTTCGCGCATCAGGTAGAGTGATCGCTTTCAAATTATCGAATTGGGGGCGGCATAGGTAAACAACACCTATTATGTTGAGCCGGTTTTTTTTATTGATCTTATACCACCAGTTATCCTGCACTACTAGTATGTAACGTGTTAGATTAGGATTTGATTCCATCGATTTATCGCCAATATTTGTTCTTGTATCAGGATAAAAAGGACGAATTGACGCGAACGTTAGCAGAATGTGGCGATGACAAGCGAGAATAAAACGGTTGATATTGACCAAGCTATCGATGCGGCTACACCATTACATAGGCAGATTCTCACAAACTACGCTCAGGACTTGGCATGTGATGACGTCATTTATGCACTTGGTAAGTAAAGTTTTACCTGAAATTTTACAGGCTTACGATTCAGCTCAATACTGCCCAAGTTTTCCTGGGATTTTGTCCGAGTTCGGGTTAGTTGGGTACCCTGGTCACGAAACTGCCAGTCCACAACCCTATGAAAAACGAACATTTTCACCCGGACGGGTAGTACAAACCCAGGTATTGTGCTTATGGCGTCATGATCACCAGTATGAGATTTATTTTGGAACTTTCGCCAGGTCAGTGCTGACGCCAGTCCCAGGCAGGACATGTCCTTACGTTGGGGAAGCTCCAGCGGGGGGTCCTATTTGCCTTTGAGAGAAGTTTACCGAGTTGCTACGGTTGTTTTCTTCTCGCAGTTTTTTTTCCGTTTCAGCGGTGCTATACACCCCCTTCTTGGTTAATGGCGTTTGAGAACTAGTGCACCTTTTATTATTTTTGATAATTGAAACTAGTAGTTGGTTGGCGACGACACCTCCTCGCGACGGACCAGATGCCCCCTCCTGGGAAATTCAGAGTGGGAAGGAGCAGGTCGTAGGAGGACGAAATCTGGGGTCGGGTCGTGTTTCCCGCAAATTTTTCCCAGCGGCAAGACGTGCCATGTTCTCAGCTCTCCCCTTTTTCCGCAGAATTCTCTATAAGTCTTCATTGGGGGCAGCCGAAAGCCCAGAGTACGAATATGAGATCCTTGGCACAGGATTGGTGATAAAGCCAGTGTGGGCGTTACCTTTTTTCACCAAAAAATATTGTCGCAACCATTGCATGCTGGTGCCAGCATCAGAAATGAGTACCATATTCGTGACCAGGACCGTCAGTTACCCTCAAATCCATGTTTTTAAGCGAGTTTCTTGGAAGATCGTGGCGCTAAAAAGGGTGTCTTATTCATCGAAGAACCTTCATGGACGTAGTGTAGGTATCGATCGAGCGTTTTTAGCGTAAGCCAGTGTGCGCAAAAACGCTATGTCGATACCTAAAATTCACTAGTCATTGAAAACGCTGTCGTACGCTGGTGTACACTAGCGTGCACCCGAAACCTGAAGTACATTCAAAGCGATGGGTCGCTGCCTATACCGCGCTCGAAACGCTCAAAAAGCTGACGCGGAGTATGAACGCTTTTTTCGCGTGACCCTTCCCTTTCAGCAAGTTGAATATACACCTTCGTCGCGCATTCCGCTGTACACGTTTGACCGTGACTCCAAATACCATTGCTGAATGCTTTCTCCATTTTCAGAAATCCATTTTTATTCATTTTTCATTTAAAACATTTTTTTCGTTTCAGGACAAGCGTTGAGAGATAAAAAGATATCTGTACAAGAATACCTACGACATGTTCGAGATATCTCACGAAAACAATTCATATTTCGGGCCACCATGCAAAAGTGTAGAAAAGCAGCGGGTTTACCGATATAGCGTACTTTTATAGTGCGTTCAGTATTCATCTTTGCAATTGTATTTATTGTTTCCATTCAACTTTCCATTGTGCTTGTTTTTGCCTTTCTTATTGGAAGACCGGTTGTGAGTCTTACGCACGTAGGTGTATCCTCTCAACATTCTGTTTAGTACACAACTGGTGAATAGTTACTCCAATGCAATTATCTGCAAATGGTTCGTCTGATTTTAAAGTCCCATCTATCAGTCGGGGCACGTCCTGCCGTTGGGGTACAATTGTGCAGAATGAGACCCCCCCCCCCCTCAAACATTTTCTGGTACGACCCCTCTCCCCAACTCCCATCTTACTTAATATCTCCCCAAAGTCTCATAAGTTCCTACCATTACCAGCTTCTGTTCCCCCTCCCTCCTAGAAACTGCTGTCGATCCCGAGGTGGATGTACAGTGCACGTGCAACGGGGGAAAATCCAGAAAAATCAACAGTCGAAAATATTTTTCACAAAGGCAAATGCGACACAACGACCATGACCCCCTAGCTAGAGATCCTCTAAAATACGACGTGCCCTGTCGTCAGTAGTCGAGGATGTTGCTCCTCATTTGACGTATGTGATAACTTTAAATGTTTGTAAATCTTTACTATCTGTCCGTAATTTTATCTTTGTATCATACGCCTCTTTCTGCCTCCGTCTTCTCCGAGATTGCTTAGCCTGATGGCTTTTGTGTTTTCGTTCAGTGAGGCTGACCGGTCTTCGCGTTTCTCCATTTGTTGCCCGAGTTCTAATCGCATAAATTTTTAAGATAGTGTGCTCTTCAATTACTATTTAGCGTCTATTTACGGTTACTACTTTGCTCGATCTTTTTCTTTTTCCAGGGGCTTTTCTTGCGTATGTTTAAACGAGGGCCAGATTTCAGGCAGATATGCAGGCGATAAAGTGTGTTGTGGTAGGTGATGGTGCAGTCGGTAAAACGTGTCTACTGATCTCGTACACAACAAATGCATTTCCCGGAGAGTATATACCAACGGTGAGTACGTTGAATTTCTAGCTTCATTTGATCGATAGGTTCTTTTTCATTCAACTTCCATTTCAAAGAAGTTCCATGTTGCGGTATGGGTGTGACCGAACCCATTTTTTTTACCCTTGATATTGTAGTGGGAACAACAAGGTCAGTGCTGTTCATCCTACAGAGCCCCACTTGATATTCAAACATTACTTTCTTCACAAGAATGCTGAGTTGTGGGCAAAAGTCGTGCCCCAGGCGGGAGTCGAACCCGCACCTCACGCTTTCCGGGCGAGTGCGCTATCCGTTACGCCACCAGGGCCGCTTTTACCCTCTCAGCTTAACGGCTTTTATGCCGTAGCCTATCAGCACTCACACGTCTACCCAGACGCAGGGATCCGGACGTTAAGATTGAGGAGTGAAAATTAGCCATTCGCCTTTTTTCGCGGGTTAATCATAAACCTGGAGTGATCCTCACCATTTCAGAATTAAAAGGCTCTGACCGACCACAACGATGTTTAACGTGTGAGTTTTTGCTGATAGGGCTACGGCATAAAAGCCGTTAAGCTGAGAGGGTAAAAGCGGCCCTGGTGGCGTAACGGATAGCGCACTCGCCCGGAAAGCGTGAGGTGCGGGTTCGACTCCCGCCTGGGGCACGACTTTTGCCCACAACTCAGCATTCTTGTGATAACATTTCGAACGCGTACTGCGCGTTAAACAGCAGTTATCATAACAAAACAGTCTTCAATGCGAGCTTGTCTTCAGTTTCTTTTTTGCACTTCTTGCGGAATTTTAGACGGAACTTTGGTATGGCTGTTTGACATCCATGAAATACAGGAATCCATTTCACGCTACCCCCGCCGCCCTCCTGAACAAGAATGTTGCATCTGTTTAAAAGGGAAACGTCGAGGCACAAGGTGCTGCATTGCAATAAATTTTGTTCGGCGCCGGTGCCCAACATCGTAACCGGTGTCGCCGCGCCACATGGATGACGAGGGTACGTACCAGGCGCGCCACGGTGTGATCAAGCTCCAAGCAGATGTCATCCCTATGTTCAGAAGTCGAGCTGCTCCTTGAGACGAGATTTCATTAGATCTGATGTTTTGTGGTGTTTGGCGCGAGCGCAAGAAGTGGTTTTCGCGGTTAAGGGACCGAATTATCCTTTGATGTGGACCCAGAGGAAAAAAAACAACTTAAATGCTGCCCGCGAACGGTTTTTTAGGGAGGGAGGGTAGTGTATTTTTTAAATTGCTTATGACTACTTGGATCAAGCCTTATTTAAGCATAGTGTGATTTGTACTGTCCATTCTTTTCTGTCAAGGATCACCTGTGGGTGTAGTACACGTTCAAATGGCGCAGTTCGGCGATGGAGGTGGTATTTTGCACTTCTGCTACTTCTCGTAAACGTGTCGAGCCATTAAAGATTTGATTTGATGGGAGTGATTTGTGAAACTTTGTGAAGCTATGAAGTGATATCAGTCAAAGTTTGTAGAAAGCGCTGATCAACTCTTGTAATGAATACCTGTCAACAGCCCAATATCCCCATGCTAAACTGCGCCACTTTTCTTTGTAATGAACATAACGGTCCCCTGGTCAGTGATTAATATGTGATATTGATTCATGTGTTCGACTCCCCGAGTCGGGTTGTGTTTTCTCTGAGGGTTCCTACTTTTATTCATCAAGGTGGTCTTCATTTCTAATTGACGATAGTAAAGGTTAATGTTTATGCTCATTCCAGGTTTTTGACAACTATTCTGCGAATGTAATGGTGGATGGTCGTCCGATCAACTTGGGTTTATGGGATACAGCAGGACAAGAAGATTATGATCGGTAAGTGTTCAGCTTTGTTGTGAAGATATGTGCAATATGATTAGGCAGTCAAGTGTCGGGATAATGTTATGCTTAGCTTCAACCTTTCTCGGCCTTAACTCTGAGGCACATGCATGTAAGTGCTTGTAAGCATAGCATATTCTGTAAACCTGTGAATACCGGGCAACCTTTCCAATGCCTTGTGAGCCTTGTTATCACCTATCATGCGCTCTGAAAACTCATGTCAAACTTGCGAAATGATTTATCAAGATTTGGAAGAAAATGTAGAATGGGCATCCTAAGATGTCTACACTTCAAGAAAGCTACAGGTGCAGCATCCTCCAAGTTATCTGCACCCTATCGTTGAAATATCCCATACTATGACGGGCACAGAGCACTGGTGTGATAAAAATTAATCACCCGTAACTTGGATAGTGTAGCTTAATACACGGTAAATGAGAGATGCACTAAAATGAAGAAAGTGATTTCAAGGTTTCCTCCGGCGAGGGAGCACGTTGACGTGCCCTTTTGATGATGTTGGGGGAGGGGGTTGGCAAAGGGAGATATTTCCGGCCATTGGTCTGATAAGAAAAAAAATGTGTGATGGTGGTGCGAATAGACCGATTTGGCTTGGAGACTTTCATACTAATTAGAACCAAACAGTGTGTGTTCGTTTTGCGATGAGTCATACACGAAAAGCGTTTGTAATTTGAGTTATGACTGGAGAGTTACTCATCCGAAGGCTTCTTCTTATCAATGTAATCCGTTTTACGTTTACCACAGAATTACTTCCTGTGAGGTGACTCATTTCACCTTGAGAAATTATTAGTTTACTAGTTTGATGGGCTAAGTTGCTGTTTTATATTTCAGACTTCGTCCTTTATCTTATCCCCAAACCGACGTATTTCTCGTTTGTTTTTCACTCGTTAATCCAGCTAGCTTCGAGAACGTCCGTGCGAAATGGTGAGATTCTTTTCGTGACATTTTGAATGCACCTATTGAGTGCATTCTAACCGTAACATCGTTTGCTAAGGAATCCACTTAAATCATTTCAGGTACCCGGAAGTTTCTCATCATTGCCCTACTACTCCTATCATTCTTGTTGGAACAAAAGCTGACTTGCGTGATGATCGAGAAACCATTGAAAGGTGCTGATTTTTGTCCCTATTCAGAAGCCCTTTTACTTGATGTTATACTATCCGCAGTCATCTCCAGCTTATATTAGGTCATCCCATTCAATAATGTGGAATAATATTCCGGCTTTAGGTTAGGTAGACTCCTCCTTCATCAATGATCCGCTCCCACGAAAGCGTTTGAACCACTGGTACCCTAGTTTTTTCAACAAGAGCGAGCAAATTGCCATTGATGCTAGTTTCGACAAATGGCAAAACGTTGTAGCATTTGTTTGAAGCTGAACAGTACCTCAGACTGATCAGAACAGTTGAAATCGCAACGGCTTTATGTTA